GGTGGAGTGGTGGTGGTGATGGTGGTAGAGATAGTGGTAGAATGGTTTCAAACACTATTTTTTTAAAAAAAAAAATACTGATAAGAAATACTTCTTAAAAACACTTTTAAAAAGTTACTACAAACACACCTTTAGAAGACTATTTTTCCTATTAAATTTGGGGTTATAATATTAGTCGTCAGATTAATTTTAAAATAAAATTTAAAAAGATCTCAACCGTGAATAGCAAAAGTCATTTTATTTATCTTTTAAAATTTGAATTGTATTATATTTTATTATATAGATATATGTTTATAATTTTTTATTATTTTTTTCAATTTTCAAGTTGAACCAGATTTCTTAAATTCTAGTTGGGTTTGAATTAAATATGTCGATCCAAAATTTCAATCCAATTATTGCCCAAATTCAATTCGAATTGAAATTTTTTTGTCATAATCCAACTCAAATGTTAAAAATCTCAACCCAAATAATAAAAAAACCAAATTAAACTGGAATTAAGTTTGAGTTTATCCGCCCAAATTTTCACCCCTAATGGCACCCAACGAACACAACACTACCCAAATCAATCATGTCAACGATAGCCCACTCCCACCTAAGCCTCTGCAAAATGGCCCATGGGCGGCCCAAAAGCCTTGCAACCCAATGGGATAACGAGTGGCTAGGTCCACCACGTGGCAGACAATGGGTAACCTACTACCTTGGCGGGTAATTATTGGCTACTGGCAACAAATTGCAACAGTGCGGGAATTCAATCATTGTTTAGACCTCTCTATTATAATTTTTTTTAATTATTTTCTTTACGAAATATTGGTGACTAATAAAAATTAAGGTTTTCGAATTTTTTATCATTGACAAGAATTAAATAATTTTTTTTTTATTTTAAGATATTTAGATTTGTACTAACTATCCATCCAACTCAAATACTTGTTACCTTAATTCAAGTGGATTTATAACATCTTCCCTAAAGAATAAAATTGACTGGCCCTTATAAGTATTAGAAGTGTTGAACTTGAGACTTTTAAGTAGAGATTCGTGGGCTGGACCGGGCTGTAGACTTGTGAAAAAATTTTTTGGGTTGGGCTTAGGTAGAATAGGCTCAAATCCTTATCGAAGTGAGTTATAGGGTGGGGCGGACTTCAAGTAGGAATAGACTATCCGCAATCCAATCGCCCCTTGGTAGGTGTTTTTTTTTTGTTATATGTACATCTTTATCCAAAGAATTTTTTGGAGGTCGGTACTTAGACGGCTAGGCCCAATAGGATTCCAAAAATAAAAAAGGGAAATTTGGAGGCCGGTCCTGTTATATGGACTTGTTTAAACTTAAGTCCGTCAAGGAAACTTATTTGTTATGAAGTCATTTTTTTGTCAATTTTACCATACTATCCCTTCCCTTTAAAAATGAAATAAAACTAAAAATTAAAAACTCTTAAATTTTAGAAGTTTGACTAACATTAAAATCTTTTCTTTCGCATATCTATTTATATTTATATATAGGTTAAGAGTTTGAGAAACATTAAAATTTTCTCTTATATATATAGTAACATTAAAAATTAAAAAATAGTAACATTCAAATACAAAAAAATTTATCATTTGGACACAAAATATAATACATTTAAACACAAAAAAATAGTAACATTTAAACAAAAAAAAATTAAAACATTCAATATTAATATTTTTAAAAAATAACAATAGTAACATGTTCAACAAAAATATTAGCATATTTAACAAAAATAGTAACATGCTTAACAAAAAATATAACATACTTAATAATTATTATTTCTCTCAAATTTAAACGCAAAAAATACTATCATTCAAATACAAAAAATAGTAATATTGAATATTAATATTTAAGAAAATAATAGTAGTAACATACTCAACAAAAACAGTAACATGCTCAAAAATAATAGTAACATACTCAACAAAAGTAGTAACATGAACAGTAACATAATAAAAAAAATAGTAACACGAATTTGTATATATATACCTAACCTATATATGGATATAGATAAATAAGAGAGAGGAAAAATTTTAGTGTTACTCAAATTCTTAATCTATATATGTATATAGATAGATATGAGAGAAAAAATATTAACTTTCTTTCAAGTAATGGTATTTTTGAGTTAAAAAAAAAAGTTTGATTTAAATCATTACATATAATTTTAAACATAGACTTAGTCTCTTATAAGTTTCCTTACAAAACTTATCTCCAAACAAATAAATCTAGGGGGACTCACTTCTAATTTTCACAAAAAAAAATCACTCGCCAATTTGCTTTTGAATTAAATCCCTATTGAAAAGTAAAAGCAATGAATATAACTAATGCACTTTAAAATTACAAAAGTAACGACAATGTTTTCATAACCTTCTTCTTCATAAGCACAAATCGTTAGACAGATACGCAATTAATATATACGTATTTATATAGACACACAACATATCATATACGACGAATAATATACACAATCATTCAGGCACATTATACAAATATATACATCCATGAGATATATACATTAATTTTATTTGAGAGGAATTATTTAATATTTAAATAAACAATGAATAATACCCTAAATTACTCAACTAAGTATTTATAAATAAATAATTTTTTTGTTAAAAGAATATGCCACCTAACTTTTAATGGTTAATTTTTTTTAAAATAAAGTGAGTGGACAAGCGAGCGAATAGATTAGGCTAGGCTAAGTAGGTTCTTGGGTTAGATTTTAACAAGTTTTGAGGTTATTAATGGGCCGGGTAATGATCTTTTGGGCAAGCCCAAGTCCTTTTTTTAATAATATTGAACTCAAATTCAAAGAGACTAACTATGCAACCTATAAAATTTTAAACTTATTTTTTCAAACTATAACGAGTCTCATAGACCAATCTAGACTCATAGACACCCATAGACACCCTATTTTTGGGTTATTAAAAAAACAGACTCAATTACTATACCACCAACCAACATGGATTGTCCAACTTAGTCATCCACCAAAAATAAATTAAATCTTAATCATGTAATATCAACAATAGCAAACTCCTTGTGGAGCCCACTTAGGAACACCCATACATAAAATTGGACTTTTTGACTTAAAGCATAAAATATCAACAATAGCAAACTCCCCGTGGAGCCCACTTAGGACCACCCATACATAAAAATTGGAGTTGGACCGGAATACAAATTAAGACAAAAAGCACATGCATGTATTTCATCAAACAAACTTTGCTTTCCAGTAAACAATCCGTTCTTGCGGTGAACATTTACTTGTTTAAGTGTCCATATCTCAACAACCTTTGGCGTTTTGCCTAAATTTGTAATTTACAATATCAATTATAAAGGACAAATCACATGTTCAGACCATTTTTGAAATTTCTTGCAATGAGAAAATTAGAGAATGGAAAAAAAAATATAAAAAATAGAAAGGTTAAGCTCAAAATTTGGTCAATTTTGTAGCAAATAAAGAGAAATTTGAATTGGTCATTGATATAAATTTTACTAGCATTAACCCTTGTAATATTAAAAAATATTTTTTTATTATGTGATTAAAAATTAGAATTAATTACATTGGGAGGTCCCTAAAATATAGAGTTTATCTCATTTTATTCTTCAATATTTCAATCGGATAATTTTGATTCATGAAGTAATGAATATGTTTCTATACGGTACCTTAAACAGACAACATCCAAATTACTAACGATTTTTTATCATAAACTTGTCACATGATACCTAAATATAGGGAAAAAAATAATTTTGGTAACTCTTGACAGAAAAATGTGAAATATGGATAGATTTTGATCAGAATTTGAATAGCTCAAGATCAAAACTATGTAATTTGAATAACTATGTGATTAAAATTTGGTTAAGAGTTATTTAAATGATTTTTTTGGCCATATTTAGGTATTTAAAAATCGTTAACAATTTAGACGTTGTCTACTTTAGAGACTATATAAAAAAATATTTAAGGGACTAAAATAATACAATTAAAATATTAGGGATTAAAGAGATAAATTTTTTATTTTGGGGACTTTCAGTGTAATTAATCCTAAAAATTCAAGTGAATAGGTGAAAATAAGATAAAAGTAGGAAAAGAAGAAGATGTAAGTGTGAAATTAGTAAGGGTTGTGTAACATTAAAGATTGTGTTAGTTGAATTGTTTTAACATTAGGAGATGTGAAAAAATTTATGATGTTTTTGGGCAGAATATTTTTAAATAAATTTTATAAAATTAGATAATATTAGATAAAAATTAAATTAATCTCTATTGTTGTTGTACTCTTATAATTGTACAATTTAAATTATTAATTGTAATATTTAGATTTATATAAAAAGTCAAGAGCGTTCATTTTGCCCACTGAAAAATAAATCAATCTGTTGGATTGTTCCACGAAGACAGTACCATAAAAGATCCTTATTCAATCTTTGGAGTAAAATACTCATATGGCTCTCAAATAACAACTTTTATATCAATTAAGTTTTTAAATTTTTTTTTATAAAAGGCTTAATTGACACAATTAAAAAATTTGAAAGCTCAATTGATACCAAAAAGAAAAGTTTTAGGGCTTAATTAATACAAATGTCATAGTTTAGAGGTCATATGTATAATTTACTCCAATCATTTCTATCAAGTGAGTGACACATTTCGCCACTTTTCATTACAAAATCTAATAGAAGCAGACATAATGGTTCATTTGATACAATTAAAAAGTTTAATGGCTCAACTGACATAAAAAAAAAGTTTAAAAATTTAATTAAAATAATAGTCATAATTTGAGGGTCATATATATATTTTACTCCGCTCCAACATGGTTGAGATTTGGATAATATTATAATAAACTAATCAAACTTGACGACAGATTAAATTATATTAATTTGAAGTTTTTAATCAGTTATAGTTATTATTAAATTAAAAAAATCTATCAAATATTAAAAATAACAATTAATTTAATCATTAAGAGGAACGGTTCATTCACGGGTTCGGGAAACCAACCGCCACGCCAAATTCATCCTTCTCTCTCTCTCTCTCTCTCTTCCCTCTACAAAATCGAAATCTTTCCTCAGCAAGAAAGCGAATCTTCCTCACACTTGCGTTCTCTCACTCTTATATTGGAGTCACCGGAATCTGCCACCGTCTCCATAAGTGTCCGGTGAACACTTTACAGATATTTACAGCAAGAGATTCATATAACTATTCGCAATTAACGCGGTCACTTTCTTCCGGAAATCTCGCTGGTTGATATCGCCTGCAACTGTATCAGGTCAGGTGGTTGCCTGCCACCTCCACCATGAACGACGGAGACGACCACCACATCCCCTCTTTACAACTCCAGAAGCTAAAAGTTGTATCGGCCCTTGGCCGAGGAGCGAAAGGCGTTGTGTTCTTGGTCCAAACAGAAAGCGGAGAATTGCTGGCTTTGAAGGCAATCTTGAGACATTCGATCGATAAGAACAAGGGGAATGGCAATAGTGATGATAGCGAGTACAGAAGAGTTTGCTTTGAGCAAGAGGTGTTGAAGTGCTTTCGACATCCTCTGCTGCCGAAACTCCATGGAGTTGTGGTTACGGAAAAGATCGTTGGATATGCTATTGATTACTGTCCTGGCCGCGATCTTAATTCTCTCAGAAAGAAACAGACGGAGAAGATGTTCTCCGATGATATCACCAGGTAAATTAATCTGTGTATAGCACTGTATACAACATCAACAATAATTCATGCAATTTTTTCAGAAGAATCGGATGCAATGAAACTAAACAATCTAACTTTTCTGATAATTGATTACGTTTTGCCATTGATATAAATTGAAGTGGAAAATTTTCAGGTTTTATGCAGCAGAGTTGGTACTGGCATTGGAGTATTTGCACAGTTTGGGAATAGTTTACAGAGATTTGAAGCCAGAGAACGTAATGATCCAAGAAAACGGACATCTAATGCTCGTCGATTTCGATCTCTCAACCAAACTCTGCTCCGCAAAAACTCCTGAATCTCCTCCGATCGTCGAACCGGTACCCAAATCAGGGCCGGTCAAGAAAAAGAATGTCGCTGCGTTCTACAGGTGTTGCAGTTCAGGAATTTCACCTGAAGACACCGTCTCCGTCCCTCCAGCAGAACTCGGTGCCAACTCAAGGACTTCCACTTCCGAGTCAGACTCGGTTGAGAAGTCGAACTCGTTCGTTGGAACCGAGGAATACGTGGCGCCTGAGATCATACTTGGCACCGGACACGATTTTGCGGTGGACTGTTGGTGCTTAGGTGTCGTTCTTTACGAAATGTTGTACGGTACGACGCCGTTTAGGGGGTCGAACAGGAAAGAGACATTTCATCGGATTTTGAAGAAGTCGCCGGAATTAGTGGGAGAGCCAACGGCGTTGCGGGACTTAATTGGAAAATTGCTTGAAAAGGACCCAAAGCAGAGGATTTCGCTTGAGAAAGTGAAAGTACATGATTTCTTCAAAGGGGTTGATTGGAATCTGATTTTGCGAATCCAAAGGCCACCATGTATACCTGTACGACCCGAGGATAAGGGTATTGAAGGAAATAAGGGAATTGATGTGGAAGATTTTGTCCATGAAATTTTTAAAGCTGTGGAGGAGGAGAAAGAGGAAGAAAATAAGGATTCGGAAAAGAAGAGTAATGATGAAAGTAGAAATAATGGGGTGTGGGTTGAAGAACAGAATTACCCTACACGAGGTGACAATTTTTTGAGTTTTTAGCTTTAAGTATTCTATAATTTTGTTCATCCAAAAGTTTTTTTGACTGGATGACCTTACTCATATGACATACATTTGCTGATTGCACTTATATATTTAGTACAAAATTGGGATATCTTTTTTTGTATATTGAGTAATTTATACATATACCTTTCAAATTATTATATTTGTACCAATGAAGCCCTAAACTTTTTCTTTTTGTGTCAATTGAACTTCTGAATTATCTAATTGTGTTAATTAAACTCTTTTATCCGTCTCTGTTAAACTGTGTCACTCATGTAGCTATATGACACAAAAAGAAAAAATAATTCAATTGATACAATTAGAGAGTTCAAGAACTCAATTAACACACAAAAAAAAAATTCAAGGATTTAATTGAGGGCCATTTGTATAGGTTACTCCAACTATTGTGTCACACGAGTAGCATACTTCATCATTTTTCGTTAAAAAATCTAACAGATGCAGATTGAAAAGACTCAATTGACACAATTAGAGAGTTTAGAGACTCAACTGATACAATTAGAGAATTTAGGAACTTAATTGATATAATGGTTATAATTTAAAAGTCATACTTTACTTTTATATATTTATAAATAACCCCACACCTCATTTTGTCAAGTCTCCACATTATGCTCTACGTGGTATTTACTATATTTTAGGTATCTATACCGGAAAAAAAAAAAAAAAGAGATAATGAGATGTGAGTATTTTTTTTAAAACTTATTTGGCTTTAAGTACTACCTCTAAACTTATCCTCATTTTAGTCTTTTTTTTCATCAAATATTTTTCAATAAGTACACATTTTAAAATATTTTCAAATTTTTTCTAAAATGTATTTCATAATTACCCCTACCATAAATAGTGCATACCTAATTGAAAATTTTTACATTTCCAATATCTAAATATTAGAATGTGAGACTTTCAAAATTTCTTTTGATATTTGTGTATCATTTAAATTTTAAAATTATATATATATACACACACACACATGTATATATATATATATAGACACACACACATATATATAATAATATTAAAAAGTAACATGTTCAACAAAAAAATAGTAATATCAAATAGTAATACGCTGAACAAAAAAATAGTAATATTAAACAATAGTTTAGTTGTCACTTTTTATTGACACTTTTTGGGCACTATCAACGAGGTATTACATGATGTCATTGATTGGACCTCTATTGTCATTAAGGGTGTTCAAATTTCCAATCGGTCGCAAGTTCTTACCCTATCTGACCCTACTCTACCCTACTGAACGACTAGCCGCAAAAATCGAGTAGGAATGCGAAAGAATTTTTGATCTTCCAACAATTTTCGGGTAAGAATGCGGAATAACCATTCATTTTCTCATTCCTACCCTACCCTACCCGCAATAATTTTTTAATATATATATATAAAGTAAAAAAACCCTAACCACATGCGGAGCAATTATGATTTTAATGTATTTCATATGATTTAAAGTTTAAACTTAAATTAATTGTTATTGTATTTGTGTAACAATTATGGTGGATTGATGTTCATACTTTCTTGTGTTTTATTATAATTATTGTTGTAGTTGTTTTACATTTTTAGTGTTAATTTATTTATTGTGTTGTTAAATTGGTACATATTATATTAATTAAATTGCTAAAATGATCTAAAAAATAATTATTACAAAAATATTTACCCGACTTCCTACCCAATTAATCAGGTAGGAATACCACACCTGTCGGGTAGGGTAGACCAAGAAAAAACTCTTCCACAAAGTATCGAGTATGAAGACGGAAGAGCATATTTCCTACCCGTAGGGTAGGGTGAACACCCCTAATTGTCATTATCTCGTGTCTCTATTTGGTAACACTGTTTGCATGACAATTTTTCGAATTCTCTTTTGGTGCAACTCTTTGAATTGACAAATATATATTGTCATCATTTATAGTCAATCTATTGTTGTCATTCGTTATTGACACTATTTGGACACTATTAATGGGACATTACATGATATCATTGATTGGACCCAATTGTCAATATCTCGTTTCTCTCTTTGATGACACTGTTTACATGACAATTTTTCGAGTCCCACTTTAGGTGCAACTCTTGGAGTGTGCAAATATATATTGTTATCATTTATGGTCAATCTATTGTTGTTATTCTTTTCTGACACTACTTGGGCAATATCAAGAGGGCATTACATGATGTCATTGATTGGACCCTCATTGTCATTATCTTGTGTTTCTCTTTGGTGACACTATTTGCATGACAATTTTTTAAGTCCCTCTTTAGATACAAATTTTTGAGTGGACAAATATATATTGTCATCATTTTATGGTCAATCTATTATTGTCATTCTTTACTGACACTACTTGGGCATTATTAAGGGGACATTATATGATGTCATTGATTAGACCCCTATTGTTATTATCTCGTGTCTCTCTTTAGTAACACTGTTTGCATGACAATTTTTCAAGTCCCTCTTTAGATACAACTCTTTGACATATATATATCTCTGTGTGCGTGTGAAATTTTAAAATTCAAATGATACACAAATATCAAAAAGAATGTTGAAATTCTCACATTCTAATATTAAAAATCTCATATACAATTAAGTATGCATTATTTATGGTAAGGGTAAATTTATGACTTTTTTCTAATAGACGTACTTCTATCTCAATAATTTTAAAAAATATACTTTTAGCTTATTAAATTTTTAGAAAGGTACCGGCCTCCCTAAACCCAAAAAAAAAAAAAAAAAACGCCATACCGGCATGATACTAACTGTTAAGCTACCTCATAAATTTGCAATAACAATGACACCTACAAAACAGCTACCTGAAACATCACGCCAAGATAACAATGGCCACACATGTTTTTGTTGTTGTTGTTGATTCTAATGTCATTCTCTCCTTTTTGCAACTGTCACACAACTGTGTTTTACCACAAAAAATTTTCAATGAACTCTATAATTATTGTTTAAGAATCTAGACAAGAGGATGTATGCCTTATTACTTCAACTCAGCATCATTGTTGTTTACTGCTCAACATTTTACTTAGAAAAAGATTAAGAGTAAGGTTGTCTTTGTCAAAGGCCTGTCTGTCGACACACCAAATTTAGATGGGTCAATAGCTCATTAATATCAAACATTGATATAATCCTTATGGTCTTCCATCTAAAACTGACTTGTTCCCTAAATTTCCCGGAGGTGGGAAAATCTGACCACTAGCTTTGACTCTTAAGCAACTTAATAATTACGTTTTGACTTTTTCCTAATTTCTTGATGACTAAAAACGTTCCCAATCATGCACTGATGTGCTCCCAACCAAAAACAAAACAGCCATACTATCGGGACATATTTTAGGGATATAATTTGAAGGTATAATAAACTATTATTAATAAAATAATAATAAAAAAATTTAATGATAGATCTCATTATAGCATTAAATAAATTTACTAGTATTCTATTGGTAACGTTTTATTATATTATCAAATTATGTCCCTAAATTATGTAATAACAACTAGCTCAACACAAAAAAGTAACTTAAAACGAGATGAAATGTAACAAACTAAGGGTGCTCACTCTATTCTATTAATAAGAATTATGATATTTTATTTTCTTACGTGATATTTTGCAAAAAAAAAAAAATTCTTAGATCAAGTGTACTCTTTCTACCTGAATTCCTTCCAAAACAATAGATTATGAAATTAGGTCAGAAATCGGATAAACACATTTTTTAGTTATTATTTTAATAATTTAATTAAATAACATACATCAATTAACTAACACAATAAATTTGATAATACGTAAATAATTACAATAAAACCCAACAGAAAAACCATCAACATTGGTACATCATATATAAAAAAGTCAAACAACAATAAAACATTAGAATTTCTACATTTTTGAATTTTAATTTTTAAGAATTAACACACACACACATGTATGTATGTGTGTGTGTATATATATATACACACTGGTAAAATATGATAAAAATATAAAAATTTTGTAAGTATTCCACGTTTCTACCCAATTTTTTACAAAATACCAAAAAAAATTTCATCAGCCAACCCAAATCTTTCGAGTTGCCAATCAATAGAGTTTAGGATAGGGTAAGATCAAAATTTGCGAATAATCAAAAATTTGAACACCGGTAACTTAAGCCACAAATAAGACCAAGAACATCAGAATGACATTCGGTGGTTATATGAAAAATGAACCATACATGTTTCGCAAGAAACCTATGGAATCCAAATTTTAAATCAAAAAACTCCAGAAAACTGTTCCATCAAAGCTCTAGCTACTGCATAGTTTAGTAACAAAAACAGAGAAACAAATATTGCAACATCGCTCACTCGTCCTCCTGGCTGCGCAACCTGGCCAATTTGTTGGTGACAACAACATCTAGCTGTGCCGCACGCTCAACAATCTCCTTTCTTTTGCGAGTTGATACATTGTGTGCTATCTCTGCACAGTAAGTCCTGATAATTTGCCAGGCAAGAAGTGTGTAATAAATTCTGAATCCATATAGACATACAGCAGTACATATAATAATAATGGATTGAACTATGCAGGCAGGGGGTGAAGGATTGGGGACTATCCCAGACCGGAACAAAAATGAACAATGTATACCTGTTGTGCATCATCAAAACTTCAAGTTCTTTGACATTGTGCACAACGAACTTCTTAAATCCATTAGGAAGATAATGGCGAGTCTTCTTATCTGAGCCATAACCAATGTTGGGCATGAGGGTACATCCTTTGAACTTCCTCCTCACACGTGAATCAATACCCTTGGGCCTACGCCAGTTTTGCTGCCACCCACAGTTACATGCATTCACCAAAACAGAACATGTAAGCATTGAAAATATTATCCATTTGAGAATAGAATGTGAAGAAGTCAACTGCCTCAAACATTTTTCTTTTTTCCAGTCATTATGCACAAATACTTCGAGACGATTATACATAAACCGGGCACATCAAAATACCCTTTGCAACTGTGAAACTGGCACAAAGGTCTACTGACCTTATCAACAGAAAGATCTAACTATTGCAACAAGTAGAACCAATTACACAGAGCAATCTAGCCACAGATTTGCAGAAAAAAAATCGAATAGAAAGTACAATTACATTGTCATAAAAGACTCAACAAATCACAAAAATTGAAAAATTACTATTGCGCACATGCACAACTAAATTGAATACCAATTCAAGAGCAAACCAGCGCAATTTTCGAAGTACAAGTGAAGGTTACACAGCAAACAATAGTAATATGTAAAATGGCTCATTAAACTCCTTATTATGGTTAAGCCACTTTTGTCGAGGGAATAGACGCCAAAACAGACACAAAATGGAATTTAATTTTAGAAGCAAATACTCATCACAATAGCTGCTCATTAAACTTCCTGAATGGCAGGGATTTTTTTGGTCAAGAGAAGGGAGAGAACAAAGAGGTGGGGAGGGGGAGCCGGAGGGGAATAGTATATCTAGAGCAAACGTTATTGCTTAACCACAGATATACTTGAATCCCAATGCACTTCACTTCTCACAGCCCCAATATGAACATCCCATGTTTGAACAACTGGGTAACTTCAAAAGGACTTGGCTTAATTGTCCTGAAAATTTTCACTGCAACAACAGGGCCAGACAATAACTAAATTTTGACCAGGCTAAGAAACACACCTATAAAAAAGTTTTTTTAACCCTCTCCTATCCACTATTCAAAGATTATTCTGAAAATGAATTTATCTTTTTTTTTTCCAATAGTAAACAACAATTTTATTAATGGTACAGAAAAATGCTGTACATAATGAAAGTACGGACAAGTCGTAAACCAAAATGTAGTACATAGAAAAATGAATTTATCTTATTTAATGTGTGATGCACTAGATTGACTAACAGACCAATGTTAACCTAATAGTCTGGGTATAGCACACGTACCCAAGACAAATACAAGAACTGGAAGTTCATAAACCAGGTCATGCTCTAGTGCTTAAAGTCTCACTAAAACAAGCTGGAGCAACAAAAGCAAGAATATGGCCACACTAATATGAACTCAAATATGGTGACTCTTTCAAATGGAAAAAGGAACTACACAACACTCCCAATAATCTAACACCACAGATTTGGAACCTAATATTAAAAGTTAAATTAAAAGGTCAGTCTCCAAAAGATAGGCAGATTGAGAGAATTATATCATTATACTTGTTCTACTCCTCATATCAGCCATATATGAAAACTGAAATGGACAAAATTACCATTTGAACTTTTAAAATTTTCCAGGTCAGCTGAGTGATCGTAAATCATTACAATACTTGCCAAGCAAAGCACTGTAGATTTCTCAAAGATTCAGGACGACAGTTTGTACCTCAAAAAAGTAGAAATATGTCCCATAACCTTTCATGGTTACCTATTGTTTTACAACTTTTTAAGCCCTATACAGCTGTCCATAAAATATTTAAACAACATGAGCTTCCAACAAAAATGTTATAGGATGGAGATAGCAACACATACCTTCACAGAGATTTTCCAGTCACTATGGGGCCTCTTGAACTTCTTGGTGCGCTTCTTCACTATCTTCTTGGAGAGCAAAGGAACAGCCATGTTTCTATCATTAACAGCAAAGCAAACCACCAATTGAGCACCGAGTCATAAAAAGAAAGCTAAACGAACCAACAAAAAAAGCATAGACAAAGAGAACATTACATATTAGATCCTCAAAGTTTGTTGAATTCTAGCAAGTTGATGAAAGACATGGATACCATATTCCAACATGCATCACATACACAACTTTCACAATAATTGTACCTAGAGACATGCCGTAATAGGGCTTTTTTGAGGGGTTGCTGTTTTGGGGTTTTAGGGGAGTGGGGTATTCTAGCATTCAAGTTCCCACTATCTTACCCAGAAGCTTCTGTCCCTTGAGTAATGTTTCATCATGAGTTATTGAAGAGATTCAATAATCTAAATTTTGTATCAGTGCATAATTTAGGCCATCTTGGGACCGGAAGCAGAAATGGAAACTGAAATGGAATGTTTTGGAAACTTATAAAGAATTCCAAATTTTGGTTACGAGACATTGGAAGGAACATTCTGAAACATACTGAAACCTTTCAAAGCATGAGAATTTGAATAGTCAACCCCTGATTCGTTTCCATCAAAAACAAAACGTTTTGGTTGAAATGATCAAAGCAAACCAAAATTTTGATCTTTGGGAAGAATACAAACCGCTCCATAAAAAGGGTACTCCCATAGAAAATGGGTCAACTTAATACAATAGCAAAGATATCCGTCAATATCAATCTTTCTCTAATCGTACACGAGCACATAACAAGCAGACATTGTTTGGATGGAAGCATCAGCAGGGTCAAATTTTTCAAGAATGTAAATACAAACTTCAAAGGTAAATGTTCTTTTCCAATTTTTATAATCAAAGAAAAAGTTCGCAGCAAAGTTCTCCGATAACTATTTCCTGAAAAAAAAGACACTTGCAAAAAAATATTAGCAGTTATATATGACAATTCATCCCTAAAAAATGAATTATGTTTCAACGGGGAGGGAAAAAACTGTACAGGGAACAAGTTGTTTCCCCTTTGGTAGATTGACATTCAAATTCAGAACTAAGCCATCAGTGACTAATATAGTGGTTGTGTCAAAAATAACATCTAGTAATTGAGTACAAACCATAACCAACAGCTAAAACTATATCAAATCTCATTCTACTTCAACGAGTAGAAACATACAAAAATGAGCATAAATGCCCCCAGCTACAAGCATCACAGATTTAGCCAATCACACTATACATAATCACACTAAACATAAATATATCGATCGAGAGAGAGACAGAGAGGTAGAGAGTAGAGAGGAGAACCTGCTGGCGACGCAGCTGAGAGAGCCCCTGTTGAAAGCGTAGGCACCGTCGGGAGGACAAAAGAAAATACGAACTAGGGTTTTCAACTTTTTTAAATGTCTTGTTGCTGGGCCATTATCTGCGAAGATAGAGAGGCCCATTATGAAAAATCATCTTCGGGAATAAATACACTTCAACCCCACATATTTTATAAGATTCCATATTGGTCCTTAATTGTTTTTTTGTCAATTTGATTCTCCTATATTGACCCTTATGCTCCGTTTGGTACGATGGAAAAGTGGGAGGATGAAAAATTGGAAGGATGGAAAATTTGAGGAATAAATAAAATATTATGTTTGGTAAGGAAAGAAAGTAGAAATGATGGAAAAGTGGATAGATTAACTTTTCTTCCAACTCACAAAAATCAATCCCTTCAAAATCGGATGGAAAGTTAATTATTTGTATTGAGATGTATCTTATTTGTCTATATATCTTATGTATACATTAATTTCATATAAAAATACAATGATAAAATATGTATATATATTTTAAAAATTAAATTTAAAAAAATAAATATAAAAAAAAATAAAAAATTTAAGTTAAAAAAAATATTTTTTCCATCTTAACTAAGGGTGAAAATTTTCGACTCAACACGATGACACAACTCGAACTCGATACGAAAATAAATAGGTCAACTCGGAACTCGACACGACACAATTAGTTAAATAAGTTAAGTTAGTTTTGACTAATATTCGACTCAAACTTGTAATGATTCAACACGACTCGATTCTATTGTCACCCCTAATCTTAACCAGCACAAAAAAAAAATAGTCATTTTTTTTTTCATCCATCCATCCAACCAAACACAAAGGAAGGAAATTATATTCTTCCTACTTTTCATCCTTGAAGGATAGAAAGTGTATTCCTCCTACTTTCCATCCTCCCTACCAAACGAAGCATTAAAGTTTGTTTATACCAATTTCATCATCTAATTTTTTAATTTTATTTTTTGTATTGTGGTCAATAATGTTTGTGTTTATAACTCATTCATACCTCCACTGGTTACGTTTTTAGGGTTTGTTCTAACTTTCACATAGTACTCATTTATATATTTTTATTTCTCCTCCTTCCCTTTTGCTTTCCCTTCCCATGACCAGAGCCCACCTCTCTTGGGGAACAATAATATTAAATGTAACTATGCCATTAACAAATAATAGAATATTAAGTGAATTTAGTGTACTCTATTATTTTACTAATTACTCCCTCTATTCCTAAATATCTTTCGTTTAAGGTTTTTGTACAGGGATTAAGAAAACTATTAAATAACTCTAATATGAGTAAAAAATAATTATACATGACTAAAATATCCTTATTTAATACGTATTGGGAAAGAAAGGAATATGAAAGGCATTTAGCTTGCACCAAATCTAATGCATTGAAAAGTTGAGGGTAAATTTGAAAGAAAAAATATTAATTATGTTTTGGTTTCATTAAACGACAGATATTATGGAACAAAAAAAATTATGTAAAACGACAGATATTTAGGAACGGATGGAGTATTAATAACTATCTTTATTATATTGAAATATCTTTATTTTATTCATTGACTTGGTTAGCTAGCTTCACGACCAATTTCTAATAATTATCCTAACATCTTCATTATTTTGCATATCCAGTATACTATTTACTAAGCTAGAAAAGTGATTATAGTATATTTGGCATCTCCTTCAACAAACAATTAATGGTAAAGCGGTAAATAAAGAGTTAACACAGGGATTTATAGTGGTTCAGTCCGAGTGATCTACTCCACTCTCGTAAATGGCAGCGGTGACTTAAGTTTTTTTATTAATGGGTGAAATCACTAGAGAGAGTATTCTCCAGGAGTATTACAGTGCTTGGAAAAGAGAGAGGATGATGTATAAGGGGAGGTGTAGAGGCTTCAGAGGTATACCCTTAATACTGAAAGGATATACATTATATAGTTAGGGTAAGGCGGTAATGTGAGTGAAAGGTCTTCCACAATTTTGGTAAGTACAATCTTAGTAAGATTAAATCCCTGTATCCTGATATTCTCTCGCTCGTGTCCCTATTCCGTCAAAGGATGATTCTGATCTTGAGCTTGGACCTGGACTTGGATTAGTCTTGGATTTGCATTGGAGTGAAGAGGGCGAATGAGAAGGCTAGGGGGCAGCCTTGGGTGGCGCCTGGCTTGGGTGACCCCTAGGCGGCGCCCCTTTGGCTGTCACTTGGGCATTGGTCTTTGGTTTGAGCTTCACTTGACTCCTTCTTGACTTGTGAGCAGGTCCAATTCCTTTTAGGCTCCGGTAATTGGGACTCTTTTTGATGGTTTGACCCAGTTTTGATTGGGTTTTCTCGATTTAAATTAATTGGGCTTGGCCCAATCAATTTTGGACTCATCATTTGTCCCTCATGCCCCGAGCCTCTGACTTTTTTCAAAAGGAAGGGGTCGAGGGCATGTAATTCGTTCCATCTGGATGAGTCAGAATTTTTCTTGCTTCCTCGGGGTTTCACTAAATTTTTTTATATCGATTTTTTTTCTGGCATGGGCGCCGCCTTTTAGCTTTTTTTTTTTTTTTTCTTGGCCTGGTTGGGCGTCGCCCCTTTTGACTTCTCTTCCTTTTTTTTTCTTTCTTCTTGGCCTGGGCGCCACCTTTTTGCTCCTCTTCTTCTCTTTTTTTTTCTTTCTTCTTGACCTAGGCGTCGCCTTTTTGCTCCTCTTCTTCTCTTTTTTTTTCTTTTCTTCTTTATTCCTTTGGTCTGGGCGCCGCCTGCTGCTTCCTCTTCTTCTCTTTTTTTTCTTGATCTAAGCGATGCCTACTGCTTCCTCGTCTTTTTTTTTTATCTGGGTGACGCCTATTGCTTCCTTTCTCTCTCTCTCTCTCTCTCTCTCTCTCTCTCTCTCTCTCTCTCTTTTTAAAGGTGTCCCTCCAAGCTTCTTCAAGAAGTTTCTTCATTGTGCTTCTCCAAGAAGCTAACTCATCAAGCTTTCTCAAGAAACTTTGTCAAGGCTTCCTCAAGAAGCCACTCCTTCTCTATTTAAAGACCTTTCCAAGATTTACTGTTCAATCTCATCTTTTTCATTCCTCCCCTTTGGTTCACTATTCATCTCACCTTTCTCTTCCAAACCAAAACAAGTGATGAAGACTAGGAGCTTGAAGAGTTATGAAGGAAAGGGGCAAGGTGGAGGGCACGCACAAGGGGCCTGCCCAAGCGAAGCCCGGGGGTCCTCTCCCATCGGCAGCCTAGGTCTCAAGCTCTCCGCTGACTGTCGTAATGTCGTTGGGATTTCCACTGTCGGTGAGAGGCCCTTTAGAACTCTTGGTCCGCAACTGGGTACAAGCAAGGAGACTTCACTCAACCCTTTCGGTGTATCAGAAAGGACCCATGGCGTTGTTAGGCAGCAAAGAAGGTCTTCAAGAGGGACAGAGGGCGCTGGGCGATGCCTCAAGCCCCTCAGCTGGCGCCCATGATGTACTGGGCAGCGCCCCAGGCTCCTCAACCAATACCCTAGACGTGGTTCGGTTCCCATTTAGCGAGTTTAGGAAACGGTCGATCTGCGATTCGGACAGGGCTAGCCCTCGAGGTATGTTTCCAGTATTATCATTTTTTTTTTTGACATAATTATTTTTTTTAGCAATAGCCTGAACTTGTTTTTGTCGGTTGTTCATTCAGGCGAGTGGGAGAGTGCTAAGGACCCTGAAGGAGGTCCCTATGTCTAAGGCGGTAGTGATTTTAAGGTAACCTCCATTCTTAGCTCCTTTCATAATGATGAAGACGTTATAACTGTAGTCTCCTTTTATCGCATTCCACCCTCTATCACATGTTGTCGCTCTTAGCCCGATGAGCCAGCGTGTTACGACTCTTTAGATGAGATTGTCCTTTATGAGGGCATGCTGGAGGCCGGCCTAAGACTCTCGATTCCTGTTCCCATATGTCAGGTTCTGAGTCACCTATCGTTGATTCCTGGGAAATTGGCCCTGAATGGTTAGTGGGTGATGACAACATTCTTTGCATTGTGGGGGTTAGTGCATGACACTACTGTTCCTCCACCCTTTGAGGAATTCTTGAGCACCTACGTACTTTTGGAGAACCTCGTTCCTCACTGGGGGTGGTACCGCTTCTCTCAGAGATCTGACAAGTTTATCATCAGGCTTAGGAAGTTTTTCTTTGTTAGTGGCGAATGGGCTTCCAAGTTTGACCGCGCGCGCAGTGCCTACCCGATGGGATATAGCTCCAAAAGCCAAGTTGGGTAAGAACTTTTACCTTTAACTTCTATCTTTACTCATCACATATTTATCTTTAAAATGTTACTATCCTCGTGTAGTTGCGCCGACTCTGTCTGTGGATCAGGAGAGGATGCTCCAGATGGTACGTGACAATCCATTCAGGGAGTTTTCAGAGATTATGTCGGCAACTGGTGTTTCCACGGCTCTTTTAAGGCAGAGGAAGAAAAGTACTTGATTTCCTTAGTGATACTCTTGAAAATACCACATTACAAGCTTTCTGACTTACATTGGATTTGCATGTGCCCCCCTTGATAGGTCGTTGGTGGAGTCCGTATGTGCTTCATGGGTGGTAATTTCTCCTCCCCCCCTTCAAAGAGGGCGAGGTCTAATGCCTTCAACTCTTCTCTGCCAGGGGCCCCTAGACAGGCTGGTCTCATAGAGGCAGTTCTCAGAGATATTTCTCCTCCTTCTTTGGTCAGTATTTCCTCACCTCCCAAAGATGGGTCTAGTACCACCGCGGGGACTAAGGGCCCAGTGCCGTGTTCCACCGGGACAGAGGATCCTCCAAGTTACTCCCCTTCAGGTGATGCTTCAGCGTCCATGCTACGGGACGTGGGATTGGCAAGGGAGAGACTTTGTGACTTCGTTTCTGTTATCGAAGCCCAAGAGGTTGCTTCTCAGGGTCTAGAGGGTGTGGTCAACGCCACCGTAGAGGGCTTTGTTTTGGTATTCTCTGCACTCCCGCTTTGTATCTGGCTTTTTTTTTTGTCATATCTTGGCTTAGTTATGAGTTTCTTTGTGCTTTCATTTTTGACTATCTATAACTGGCCACTGCCTTGCCCTGCTTGTTCAATAATACCCTGAGGATCGGAAAGGCAGTCACTGGTCGGGCGAAGAAGGGGCAGGCATGGGAA